GGTACCAGCCAAGGAAAGAAAAACAAAGAAATGTCTATATAAATATAAATAGCTATGTCTGTTTAAGGTAAGGTGGTAAGGTATATTAACCCCTTGTTGGAAATGGTCTTCATGAACGACTCGACTTTTAAAGGTGAGATTGGCACATCAAACTTTTTTTTATACACAAGAAAATGCCATATGCATACCCCGCCGCAAGCGATGATATGGTGGGGTTATATGGGATTCTTATTCGTAGACTCTCCCGACGATACAAGCTCGCCCGATGGATCCTCGGAGGCCTACCCACTACCACACTGTACCGGCTCGTGAGATCCCGTTAAGACTCGCCACTCACTGGCTCATCAAACCTAGCCGATTTCGATCCTAACCATCCATCTAGCGACAGCGCCAAATTACATGAATTAGTGGTTTGTAGCTTTTTAAGAAGGTATTTAATGAAGAGTTTCAGAAACATGATTTCAGATTGTGGCAGGCGCACTCTTATCAATTGCTGCAATCCTGATAACGTAGTTTATCGTGATGGTGTATGACTCAGTTATATGGCCCATCTTAAGTATTATACTTAACCTAAGTATTTTAAAAAGTTATAACATTAAACAGTTATAATACTAAGCCTGACTGGATTTTGAGGGTAAGATCAGACAGCAGGTCGGGAAGCTAGTCGGGAGGATCAGACAGCGAAAGATCACCTAGCACCGGATCGTAATCAAAACTCCTATATACAGCCACGTGCATTACGTCATGGATTCTACACAAATTAAATTGCATTGACGAAATAACCAATTTTATAACGGAACTTACTCCGCGCTACACAGCTTCATACATATAGTACATAATGTTTTTAAACGACATACTTTAATCTCGGGGGTTTAAATCCGATTAATTCTGGTTAACGAGAAAAAAATAATTCCATAAAAATGTATTTTGAAAACGTGTGGTGACGCTACATCATGGATTTTCATAATATACAGTGTGTTTTTTTTATTGGAAATACAGGAAAACTGTCTCAAGAACCATTAAGACCTTTTTTGTAAAAACAATTTTGGCATAGTTGGCATTTTAGCATCGGGACAGAGAAGTCCTCAAATAGTAAAATGTTTATCACAGAAAATGAATAAAATCAACTCATTATTTTTTTAATGCAGATAGACTTAGTTTCATGTAAAGATAATTTTATTATTCTTATATAATATTATATTATGAGGTCCCAGGTACGATTCCCGGGCCGGGAGAAATATTTGTATGGCCTACATTTTTTCTTTTGTGAGTTTGGGTGTAATTTGTTGTTGTCTATAAGTGTGTGTCCACGGCACCCGTGACACAGTGCGTTATTATTATTATGAGATTTTTTAGTGCATCTTAATGGGTGTCGATAAAAGCAGTGTGGACCGCAACACACTACCTGTCTATTGCTTGCTAAGGTGGCGACGTACAAAAAATTGATGTCGTCTGTATCGGCCTGGAACGGTCTTTTGAATTTTGTTTATTGTATCTTTTATATTCTTATTACTTATTTTCTAATTATATTATTATTCGAGGAAAAAATCGGGACAAATGAAGTTGGCTAAATTGAATATAAAAAATTTTTCATATAAAATGAATAATATTTTATTAAAATTGACCAACTTCTCAATGAGAACTAAGAAAGCACACATTAAGTTATTTATGTTTTGTTTTATCTTTTTACAAATGGAAATGTTGGTTTCTATAATTGTTTTAGAACTATAGTCGTCACCAAATAAGAGGCCAAACGTGACAGCTAAAGACAGCGATAGTACGTATCTTTGAATGCGATCAACGAAACAATAAACAAACAATTATTAGCATAATTGAGTTTAAAAAAATACATAAATTTTATTGAAACATTATATAACATGACGAAACATATTTGAAGTACGGTTTTCGCACGAATTCCGAAATAAAATTCAATTTTGAATTATCCCGAAACGTTCTGAAAACAGTTACGTCCTCAAGCTATTTTTTTTAAATAATAGTGTTGTAAGCAATTATTCGCCGAATTTCACCGAGTCACTTCGATATCTCGAAAAATATATTTTAAAAAATATTAGAAAAAATTATTTGAAATTGTTTGTTGTTCACATCGATAACTTCTAACTTATTGCCAGTCGAATAATTGAAAATGTATGGTTTCTTGGTAATTTAATCTTTTTATGTAGTTGTTTTATCGATGAACATACTTATTTACACTAAATTCTCGTAATAAATCATCTGAATATTATAAAATCAAAACTAAAAGAATTGGATACAATTCATAGGAATGTGTGACAATTTTACGAAAATAAGAAGAATTACTGCAGAATTGTCAAAAATCATGAAATCAATTTCTCGTGAAAATCGTATAGTGTGATTACCGATATGATTAGTCCACATCCCTATTCGCGTCACGGTGACAAGTGTCAAATTTGGCCTCTTATTTGGTGACGACTATACTACTAAATTACTAATATTTTTTAAACGTTCTTCAGAGGGTGCTCACTCAATGCACACACACGTGATGACTTTACCATCTCAGTTAGCTGTGACTATGAGACCTACTATACGTATAAAGGTCCTAAAACGTTAGTATGTTATAAAAAACAAATATACGCGATTTAGTGTAAAAAAAAAGTTATTTCCAATGTGCAACAATCGCGAAAACCTAAGCACTCGATAAGTATCTTGTGCTATACATTAAAATTAGACATTCAATTAAATTAAAATTTGCAAAGTCTGCCAAAAACATATATCATCCGCGTCAGTTGGTTACATTTTGGGCGATTCGTGATAAGCTGTCTAGATCTGTTTGATATTTCCACTTTATTGCAAAATGCAACCGTGCATGATCCACATCTGAGATCCATAATTGCTATCTCACGTAGAGTAATATATTATACTGACTTACTAAATCTATTCCCATTCCTCCAAATGTATGGCCACGGGCTCTAAGAATATATTATATATATATATATATTTTACTGTTGGTTAATTGCTGGTTGTGGACTTCATAATGTCTTTGTACAGTTTTATTAACCTTCACTGGTAGATTTTATTATTATTCATAATATACAAATTTATTACGTACCCTTGGTATAATGCTTTAGTATGGATGTGACTACACCGAAAGTAGGGGTGCAGTTGAGAAAGAGTTCATCCAGGGAAGTACTGCCACCTTACTTATTTCTGTCGTCAAGCAGTAATGTGAACGTAACTGCGTTTCGGTTTTGAAGGGTAAGGGCAGGTAATACTAGAGTAAGTAAACTAAGTGGTAGTTGTAACGGTACACGGGAAAGCACTAGCAGCAGTAGAACTCATTGTGAAAGAATTAGTCCAAGGAAGTACTGTCTCTATACCTATTGCTGCCGCCAAGCAGTAATGTAAGCATTTCAAGCGTTCCAGCTTTGAAGGGTTATTAACTTAATTGAGAATATATAACGTGAATTTTTTTCAAGTTATTTGGAGAAAAAATAATAATTCTAAATTAGTACTAAGTGCCTTATCTAGCATCAAGCCTCACCCTACCGTAAACCCACCGTAAGTTCTCATAGTAAACATTTGGGTTTCTACAATTTATCTTTAGGAAACATTCGTAGAGATATCGTTGTGTATCATAGTTCTTTAACTGCCAATTAAATCAACAATGAACTCATTCTTTAATAATCCAGGGAAGTATTGCTACCTTACTTAATTCTGCCGCCAAGCAGTAATGTTATCATTACTGCGTTCCAGTTTGAAGGGTAAGGGTGCTGGTGAAGTTACAGGCACATGAGACTTGCTAACTTAGGTCTCAAGGTGACTTGCGCAGTGGCAGTGCTCCTCAGATCTTTGTAATTTAAAGCTCTGAATGGTACTGCAACTGCAATGGAAAGGCGTGTCACTATTTACCAGGCACACAACTAGTTCGTCCCGTCACTTGTTATTATAAAAAACCACATACTGTCGCGTACATACGCGTGGGCGTAGTATATAATATTGTGTGGTGGTTACGTAGTTACTACTTATGTATAGTTTTTTAGTAGTACAGCTCCTTGTGTTTGAGTTCGTCCAGGGCCACTTTACCTATTTCTGCCGCTAAGCAGAAACGTGAGCATTGCTGCATTTCGGTTTCGAAGGTTGCTGGTGAAATTACAGGCAGACATGGGACTTGTCAACTTATATACCCGTGTTGGACGCAGTGGCAGTGCCCCTTAGATCTTTGTGATTCAAAGCTCCGACGACTTGTTCGTCCCGTCACTGGTTATTATAAAAAAAATGTGTTTTCCATTAGGGGGCAAAAATTTTAACATTCTAATTTTTTTTTATATTCCTTGACTGATTGCGTTAGATTCTGATGATCAATAATCGTCCTATTAGCATTGTATTCAAAGTGAATAAATCAATGTTGTGTCATTCATTTAGCCAAATAAATATATATTCAAAATTGGTTTAAATTAAACGATACTTTTACAGTCTGTCAGCCATGTTCACTTAGTTCTTTGAATTTTTTCTTTATTTCCCACTCAAAGAACTAGAAATCAGGTGTGAGACGACAGCTTTCGGCGGTATTAGTTTGTGTCTCTTTTTCGTTGATCTTTATGTTTTCAGTTAAAAACATAAAGAACTTAAGAAATAGAATTGCTCATAAATTTGTGAATGATATCTGCACTATCACTGAATATTTATTCGATTATAAAGATTTGTTACGTCTATTATTCACTTGAATTATATACGGAATTTGCCAATTTTATTTACCAGAAACTAGTCTCATGCTTCAGTAATTCAATCTTCGCTACGACTGATTGATCCTCGTTGCGGTTTGAGAAGGTTACATTGCGTGCTGGATTAGGATGTGTAGACATTGATGTCTAAATGGGAAAGTAGTGGAGCGAGATTCTACGTGGTGCGGCAGTAAGATCAAGCAGGCGTGATAGCGACCTAGGTTGACCGATGCGCGGGGGAACGAACGCAGCGATCGCTAGCGAAGTATGTGCAGTCGCTTTTTCGCACGGAATGGAGACGCTTGTCAACCGTTCCTGACGCCAAACGGATTCCGATTCAAATATTTGAATTTCGAAAACCGGATTCGGTTTTTAGGCATAAACTTTTCAAAGAAACTGAGACGTGAACGTGTGTCATAAAAGTTGTATGGATTTTTTGTGATAATTATTTCAACTTTCATCGTCTTAACTACGGTAAGTGTATAAGTTATTTATTTTGGTAGTAAATTCAATTGAATCTTAATATTTAAAAAAAAATATACTACGTAAAATGGCCAACAATTTTCCTGACAGAAAAAGTTTAGCATGAGTTTTTCAGCCGGTTTCATTTGCAGTTGTTTTTTGTACTGCCGTCGTAATAGTTTGATAATCGTAACGTAATTTTATAATAACGCGAGATAGCGTGCTTCTTTAATAATGTAGTATTACCAGAGTTTTCATTTTCTGCTATTTATGCCGATGTTTTGAGGATTAGGTGCTTTGCGTAATAACACAATTTAAAATTATATATCATCGATCGTGCGAACTTACGTGATGAATTTGTCACTAAGTATTTCGTGGTGATCTTATTGTTTTTAAATTATGTTATAATGAATAAATTTTTATATTTTGTAGCCATAGAGATACGGCGAAAAGCTTTGGTCAAAAAGATATTCTTTTTTAAATATTTTTTAATTGTGGATGAAAACACAGCTTCGCGTTACAGACACCGTTAAAAAATTTAAAATTTATATTATTGACAAAAAAACGACCTTAAATGTTTATGGAATTACGTCTATTTGCCATGTTTTATTGAAGTTGAATAAACCAGACCCATCCCCTAATTTTCCACTCTCAGAGGTGGAATAGTTTCTTCAAATTTGAATAGAAACACTTCTGAGATAGCACCTTTTCAAAAAAAAAATTATCAGAAATGTCTGAGTAATCGCGTAACATACAAAAAAGTCGAATTGAGAACCTCATCCTTTTTTTCAAGTTGGTTAAAAATAGTTCTTAAAAAAAATACTAACTAAAATATTAAATATTAGCTTCCGACGTAATAGAATGCATGTAAAGACGGATCTGCTTTTATAATTCGTTTAAGAATATGGAGTTCGTAATAATGATAATAATTATAGTACCGCAAATAAGCAAACAACTAAAACGAAATATACTACACTAAAAAGAAAAATCATGTGCGAAAACATGTTTTACGGCCACATATCCGCGTAGAAAAGACATCAACGTACGCCTTGCCCAACTTACGTAACTTAATGTTACACTTAACCTGCCACTTTGTGTACTTACTTGTGTAAAGTGGAGCACTAGTAAGTTTGAATTAAGTGATTACGTATTGACGTGTTACTTAGCTAGCTTAGTAACATTTTTTAACTTTTAGTTTAAATGTTTTAATTCAATACAAGCTGATTTTGTAGTAGATATTTTAATTTTAGTGTAATATCATACGTTGCCCTGATAACCCGATGAACCCGAGACCAGTAGTCAAGCCATTTGACCACGGAAAACAAATATTATTTTTTCCGGATTTCAAATCGCATACATTTGTTTTTGAAATATAAATTAAGTTATAGTTCAGAATAAAGTGGTTTGCATTAATATTAGACATAATTGTTTAATGACTAATATGATATCAGTTAGCCGTGACCATGGGATTTTATAAAACAATAACAAATATACACGTTATCAATCCGGAAAAAATGGTCGATCTTCTGAGGGCTAGGTACATTTAGTTGTAGATGGCAACAAGTCTGCTCCTCACGGTATTAATGCTGACGTACCTCAGAGATCTATCCTTTCCGCCACTCTATTTGCTGCATATCGGCGACCTGCTGCTGATGCTCGGTACTTTTTAATTGCTCCACGTGGAACTGAGTACTTGGACCTACTGGGAATAAACCGTTCCAAATTACAAATACTTAAAAACTCCATATTTATATTAACTTTAGTTTGTCATAAACTCAGCTAAAATGGACTTTATAGACAACACATAATATGCTAATATAATTCGCCATTAAAATGAAAACACTAATAATCAGAAGTTCGTGAATTTACATTAATTTAAAGTTACAAATTTTACTGAAATCGGTGAACGGAAACTGGGTGAAATCCTATAAACCGGGTTTGTGGAATATTTTCTTCAAATTTGATACTGAGGCACCCCTTCCCAAAAAAAAAGATTCATTGAAATCGATTCACAAATATCGGAGTAATTACGTAACATATACAAAAAAGACAGTCGGATTGAGAACCTCCTCCTTTTTTTGAAGTCGAGTCGTATAATTACACGTATTTGCTAAGTTTTATCGAAACCGGTCACCGGAAAGTACGCCTAGTCGGATTCGGATCCCCTAGTTTGCCACCTTTAGAGGTGGAAAACTTTCTTCAAATTTAAATGGTATCCTCTATCTAATAAAAAAGAAACATCGTACACACAAAGGAGGTGTCGCGTAACAAACATACCAAAAAATATTGTCAAATTGAGAACCTCCTTCTTTTTTGAAGTTGAAAAAGAAACATTATGATCTAAATTTAACAATGTATATTTGTAAAGATGACATGCATTAAGTGATCTATAGGAAGATTAGTTTCTACGAATATCTATTTAATTCTCTAAATAAATAAATAAATAACGCACACACTCAACATACTTACTTTGTTGTACGTTTGTATGAGAACGGGAGTTAGGTGTAATTATAAAAAGAACATTGTTATTAGTGGTTATTACAATGTATGGGAGGTTTTTAACATCTTAAACATTTTAATTTCATTTTAACTTTAGTAACGGATATAATTAATAATAATAATGTGCTAAATAACACAACTATTACCTACCTGGTCTGAATTCCTCAATTAGGGAATTCCTTGTATTATAAGTGCCAGAACAATTGAGTGCACTAGGAGACACTACTCAAAATACCGAAAACAGAACCAATTAAAAAGTTCATTTTTCAAATTGAATCTACTGAGAATCGAATCCGTGACCGACTCATCTAGCTCCTACAGTGCACATTTTGATACACAATTTGGTATCACAATCGCAAGTGTATACACAGAGTACCCAAGGAAAGATATCGACACATAGATGTAAATTACAAACTTTTCAAAATTTAATTACGTCACAACACGGAATATAAAAATCGGAATCGAATTATGTACATACTTAAGTAATTATTTTTCGTCAAAATTTTTATTTTCATTTATACAAAAATTTTCTTTTGTTTATTTCAAAATTATAATATAATATTATTAAAAAAATTGGAGTACTACTTAAAATATAATTGCTAAAATTTAAAATTGGAAATTGTGCCCTAATGATATTAACGGACCGAATGGAAGACTGCGAGAATTGGCAGCTACTTTGTCCAACGTTGGCACAACTATATTAACGGGAAACGCTGAGGAAAAGAGAAATATTAATATTAACTCTAATTAGAGGTCTCACTAAAAGTTGTTTAAAAGTTGTTTATTTTCCAATTTTGATTCTGCGTTTATAGGTAATCAAACTCAGTGACATTTAAAATTTCTCGATAAATTATACAGGTTGACAGGTTGAACGAGATAAGCATTTAAAGAGGCAAACGAGTAGCAGATATCTAATCCGAATATGTAAAAAATCGCCGCTAAACATAAGAAAAACAGGGTTTGATTTGACCTTGCAGGGCACTTGCTGTATGTCCGATTGACGCGGTATCTCACGCAGAGTATTACAAAATATTAAAGGCAGTATTTTCCTCAGAGAAAAATATTTAAAAATAAGGTAGTTTTTTTACATTTTCGGTATGGTAATCAGCTACTAATTTGCCCCTTTAAATATTTATCTCGTTCGTTCAACCTGTCACCCTGTATATGTTCAAAATAACAGGAACACAAAAACTTATAATTTTCTACCAAAAGCGCTTAACTCCAAAACAATGGAACCAATTTTCAAACCTTACCTTACCGATACATTTTCGTAGCAATGTTTTTTTTCTAAGCCCATGATCCTATTCATCAAAAATATTATATCTATCTTACGAAATACCTCAGCCTCACCATCATTCATCCTATTAAATGGATATTGCAAAAGTATCAATTTTCGTACCGTTCGCCGCTTTACCGATATGCGATCACTTTTGTTGCTCTCCACATTTAATTTTCTTTTTAAAAACGGTATGCGCAGGAATGAATCAGTACAAGTGACATGACGTATTCCTCACACGCTATACTGAATCCAATTTCTTCCTTACTCCATATACTAAAACAATAACTACAACAGCTATTGAAGACTTTGTATGGTGGTTGAAAATAGCGAGTCATAATTAAGCGTCAATGCATGCAATGAAACTGGTTAACATCACTTTTCTGTTAACTTTCACGCTGCAAAAACTTGTGGCGGAAGCATTTAGCCGGAAACAGGTATACACGCTGCATCGGCGATTAAATAGTATGTTATTACGCTCACAATTAATATATGGATATTAAGTTTCCAAAATTAATAAGTGTTTATTGAATCAGATGATTAAGAAAAAATGGCGTACCAGCATGAACAACTGTAGCATATTTCGATTTTATGTTTTTTTGGTACCGTTTCAACATATTTATTTCTACGGATTTAAAAATGGATTCTTAATAGAGAGTCGCTGTGACACTTGAGTGATTTAGATACTTAGATGTCAGGCCCTTCTCTCACCGGTGTAAGCAGAAACAGTAGAGCTCCTTGTGAAAGAGCTCGTCCAGTGAATTACTGCCACCTTACTTATTTCTGCCACAAAACAGTAATGTGACCGTCACTGCGTTCCGGTTCAGAAGGGTAAAAGTGCTGGTGAAATTACAGGCACATGGAACTTGTCAACTTATGTCTCATGATGACTGACGCAGTGACAGTGCCCCTAAGATCTTTGCGATTTAAAGCTCTGAGTGGCACTGTAACGTCCCTAATTTCATCACGTCATCGCTTTAGAATATATTTTTAATTATTCCGAAGATATTTATTTAATTTCATTTCAATTACCATACCAACATACGTTTAACCAAAACGAGTATCTTTTTATAAAATGCAGTGAAAGATTGTGACTGTGGTTACATATTTCCTTCGTGCTATCTGTTTGTTCTTAACATGCGCTTTATAGCATCCAAAAGTTCTTTATGGAATAATGAGAAATGAAATTAATGAGAAATCACCTTTCACCTGTGGCGCCAACTGGTGGTGCAAAAAT